GATCGTTCACTTTTAAACATAGTTTATTTCAATGTTCGACAGTCGCTGTAGTATGTTTACTTTACAACGAAACGATAAAGTCGATTCTACCTCGGCGATTGAATACCGTACTTAACGACCCATCAGCTGTATAGCGTGTGCGTTCGAGTGAACAATCTGCTTTTTAATTAAACGGGAAATATAAAATAATCCAAAGATGTGAAAGAAAACTATTGCTTCTACCACCAAGCGCGAATCAGTGACTCGTGACTAAATAACGAGAGAGGCTTGTGGGCGTTTAAATATGGTATAATAGATATTGTCGATGCTGGAAAATTGCTGATGCGTCGTAAAACAATATTCATTCATTCATTCTGGTTAATTCATGTGAAAATATCAACCCCGACTACATTCCACATAGCTGGGATTCCTAAAGAATTCTTCAACCATGACATTTTAACAAAGGCCGACTTCTTGACATTCTTAACATGCATGCATAATGACTCCGTTCTCATTGTGACGTCATGCATGTCTATTAGCATAACAATAGGCTCATGAATATTCATAGGGCGCCTTCCGCGGAAGGCGCTGAACCTCCACATTATATACTACTCACGGTTTCTGCTGCGTTCGGGTAGGTTCATGGTGTGGAACCATCTCCTGTGAAGAATGAACCGAGCTCGTCCACGATTTTATAGATACAAATTAGTATTAAAATACAATATACTAGTATTTGAGCGTATAAAATACAAGAACAGAAGTTTTCATAGACGAAACGTGAATGAGACCAAATGCAATACTCCAACTCAGGATAAATCAAAGTTTCAATTTAAGTAACAACACGAAGTCCTTGAGACGAGGTCCATGTTGGAGCTATAAACTACAAGTAGGCAGAAAAATTGGTATATAACTTTATAAGGTAGAGTTAATGGAAAACCAATTTACATATATTATAACTTTGTCATTCCTGGAAGCAGTTCAAATGAAAGTATGTCATCTGAATGAGTAAGTGAGCTGCGGTTAACATTGCTTTGTGAAGTATTTCATAATGATTTTACAGTGTGGAACTTAAAGTGGGAGACCAGATCACAGATGATGCAGGTCATTGACCTTTACCACCCGTGTGAACATATCGAACAATCGTATGGTGCTGACCAGTCAAGGATCATTAGTGAACGCGTTTCAGACAAACCATTGATCAAAAGACATTTCTCAAAAGTATATCTTCACCTGCAGTATTTATCTGCTGCATCGTATGAATTAGTCAATATTTCCACGGTATATTATCTCCTTTCCTTGACGTTTCTTCAGCCATTTCTTGACTTCGTCATCATCATCAATTAATTGAAACGTCATCTTGAATGTTTGAAACAGCTGATTCCGCTGGGGCCAAAAGACCATGACTGTGTCTAGGGTTTTTTCTTTGCCAAGGATATCGACATCAACTCTAGATCTTGTCATCGTATTCGGTAATTCGACTGTGAGCTGGGATGTCGTTCAACATAATAAGCTGCAACAGTTCCTCTTCTGTACGCTCTTTAGACATGACAAAATAGACTAGAATAGATTTAAGCCAATGAATCTACCAACATAATTTAGTTGCTAGTCGGACGAGCTAGTTGTTAGACATAGTTGTAAAATATCTTTTGAGTCAGGTATTTATGTGTCCTCAGATATTGTTAATACACGCAGACAACCCTTTGATTTTTAAAGGGAAGCGTGAGCACAGTGTAGAAAGCACAGTGTAGACAGCACAGTGGCTACTCTTTAGTCCTGTGCTTGCAGAGTAATTTAAATCTGAAACCTGTTACATCGAAATCCTGTGTAAGAAATATATCTCCTCCCAAAAGCGCTGTAATTATCCAACAAAATATACAGCGTACCACTAAATGTTTTCATTTTGACGTATACATGCAGATTAAATTCATATTTAGTTTATGAAATACTAGTACCTATCTTATATAGGTTTACATACTCTGAGCTCAGACCAGAGGATATTCTGTACACATGTAAGAAAGTTATACCAGTTGAATGCTGTATTTCAAAATTAACCGAAACTGTTTGCAATTTCTTTCACAAACGGAAACAGCACCTTCAACCTAATTTTAAACAGCCCACATATTTGCATTTCACAATACAGCCTGCACAGTACCGTGCCTTCGACTAGCCCAATGAGGAACCGAAGTAAAACCTCCTACCTAATGAAATTATGTTTGTTCTTGGAAAATACATACATAAGACTGAACAAAATTAAAGCTGAAGATTTGATGTCTCACTGTTTCATAAGAAAGGGACATGCAATCCCAGTTTGATGATGATCACCTATCACTTCAAACCTGACATTTCATCGTCTCTAGTAAACATGATGTTCAGTAATATATCAACAATTGCATCTTTGACTCATTGGATTAAGAATAATATGACCTGATTTTGTCATCATCAATAGAATTGCATTGATGGAGTTGATGGCTAATTATGTTTCAACATCATCCCCTCCTCGGCCCTCACACGTGTGCCCAATGATGTAACCTTTCTCATGGTGGTGCAACAAATAGTCCAAAACAGAAATGGCGTCATCACCATTTACATACTGCTAGCCAGATTGTTCTTTCTTCAAGTTTGAGAAAAGGTTGAAACCTGACGGTGCAAATCTGGTGAATACAGATGATGTTCAATTTGTTCAAAGTCACGGACATGCATTGCAGCCATGTGACAACAGGCTTGTGCACAGGTCCATTGTCGTAGGTCCCGTTTGAAAAAGCGATCGTAGCTCTACGACTGTCATACGCCTTTTTTACACTCAGCTTAGCGCTGCGATCGCTTTGTGGAATTGGCCCTTGTGAAATAGAACACCTTTAGTTAGTTATAGTCAACCAGTAAAAGTCCTTTGTAACTGGAGGAAACCGGCTGATGGAAAAGACTTCTCATCCTTCTTTGGAGAAGACATAAGATATGTTTCCATACTAGTCCTGAAAACCTTTGTCATGCCAAGTTCACTACTCACAATGGTCTCAACTCTCTCATGAGAAATGCATATTGTATTAACTCTGTAACGTATGGTAGTTGACGATCAACCATATGCACATCAAGTATGTTATCAACATTTCCTAAGTGGTAACAGTTGAAGGTCTTCTTGAGCTCCCCTCCCTACCCTTCTTGAGGAGGCGGAAGGCGATCATCTCGTGAAGTTGGCACCATGTGTGCATGGATGGCTGTTGGAGCCCTTTTAGTTGGAAATACTAGATCTCAGTGCATCAGCTAATTATATGCATTTCCATCATCAGAGAATCCCTAGTCACATTGATGCCTACATAAATATGCTGCCTGTTTGTGAATTTGGTTGAAATGCATCCTGTAAGCATGGAATGTATTTTACTTAATACATGCAAAATGCTACGGATGTACTATACATCCTTCGAAGTTAGGCTCAGAGCTTGTACTTGTTTGCGCATGTCTTGTTTACATTTGGAATGGATAAGTGTTAAATGCTACTTATTGTATAATTACTTACTTAACTGGGAAAATTCCTCAGATGCTTGAGCACTGCCAATGTGTACATAAGTTATTAATAATGAGTTACCTGGATTAACGCCTTGTAGGGTTGAAAGTTGAGGAGATGGGTGGTCCAGTCGTCTAAGGCGCCGCGATTATGTTTCTAGGTTTGTCAGCACCATACCCGTGCTCGTGGGTTTCACCGATGTGGTAAAAGTCTGAGACCTGCATCACTTCGGGCTTTTCTCCCACATTAAGCTGACACGCCGTGATGCAACTAGAATACTGTTAAAAGCGGCGTTAATTCCAACTCACTCACTCACTTACTAATACTAAGGATGATAGACCCGTGAAGATCCGGGGTAGAATAGGTCTTCAGCAACCCATTCCTGGCGTAAAAAGCGACACTGCTTGTCGTAAGCGGCGACTAACGGAATCGGGTGGTCAGGCTCGCTGACTTGGTTGATGCATGTCATCGTATCCCAATTGCGTGGATCGATGTCCATGATATCAATCACTGGATTGTCTGGTTCATGCGAACTCGATTATTTACAGACCGCCGTCATATAGCTAGAATATTGCTGAGTGCGGCGTTAAACAACAAACCAACCAACCAACCGTGTTCGAGCCGTGTATGTCCCCAGCAACCTATGCCAGTCAAGAAAATCCAAATTTTAAATTTGTTATCAGACTCTGTTACTTGGTTGATAGGGTGTCATCGTACGCAGACGAAGTTGCTCACAATTTCAATCACTGGATTGTCTGTTCCAGACTTAATTATTTCCAGGCCACCATCAGATAGTTAGAATATTGCTGAGTGCGACGTTAAACGAGAAAAGAAAAGAAAAATCCAACACAAACGACTGCACGTATCTCATATGCTTTAGACGGACAAGGCCTTCATTATCTTAAATCATCAGTACCACGCTTAATGCGTCATACTATATGCTGATAATGTCAGCACCATAACCTGCATCACTTCGGGCTTTCCTCCCACATTAAGCTGACACGCCGCTATATAACTGGAAGACTGTTAAAAGCGGCGTTAAACCACTGACTCACGCACCCAAAACGTGTGATACACAACGTACCATTATCTGTCTAAGCTAATGTTTCTCAACAACAATTTGATATAACGATAGATGTGCGTTTTGCAATAGAATTATTTTCGAAACCCCTTTCTGCGTTATTGTGTAACTTGGTGATCAAGGGATCTCATCTTCTCAGAAGTCTCTCTTCAACAGAGGCGTTTGGAATAGTGAGTAACTGTTACTTTGGTAAATATATTACTCATACACTGCTGAAAAGGCAAACGGCCCCAGTATTGATTGGGGATTAAAGCGAACACGAGTCTTACATATCAGCACATTAGTCCAACTAAACCGTGCGGGATACATATTGTGAACCGACATATCTACTTGTAATCTTTGTACCATCCCAACGCAGATTCATCATCAGATGCACATACAAGAGTTTTATTTAGGTTATCACCGTTATCAAAATGATTATATATTGTATCATCCCTTTTCACCATGTCATAACTAGATGTCATTCACGAAAAGGCGATCAAGGATATTGTTTGATGTCCATAGAGATTCAATTTCTTTCAACAAATGTGCTTACTTTACTCAATACCCTGTTACAACAAAAATCAAGGGAACTTGCTTGATCACCTTGTGTGACGTGCGTTAGACATCTAGCGGAAAGAGTACTTTATCTGATACACATCTGGGCAAGATGGCGTGCTGGATCGGCTGGCCTGCCACGAGAGTGATCATTGGTGGAGTACTTATTCACTTAACTTTGGGGACATTATACACATTTGGTAAGTCAGTGTTATCTTGTCGTTGATACATTTGCCTTTATATACTTTCAAACATAAAACTGATGCTAGTATAAGCTCGATTCCAGTGATGATGTTGGCAACTAAAGGCTTCCGAATAAATAGGGATGGAACCAATATTAATTATACCATGGTAAACAGTGGTGGCACAAAAACTTTACGAAGACCACTCCCCATGTTAACACAATCTATATTTAAGTATATGACATCATATGCTATATTAAGCAACAGGGGAAAGTCCATAGCATTATATTCTATAGATACAGAATCTTAGGAAGCTATGTAGTGACACTGACGTCATCGTACTGTGAAGTGATTGGTTGACAAAGACAACACGAGAATACAATGTCTGTATATATGTATTTTTTATTCCCATACATTCAGATAGACACACGTCGGAGACCTATTCTATGTCTCCCTTTACAACATAAATGGTTCATTTTATATCATGTGTATCAGATGAATTTATCCATGAAATAAATTTCGTAGGCCAAAGCAACTACTTTAAACAATATTGCTCTTGGAGCTTTTCCCTTTGGTCTTCAGGGGGGCACGGGTGGCCCAGTCGTCCAAGGCCCCGCGATTCGCTGTGCAGAGGTGCGTCCCTTAGGCACGCCACAAAACCTATGATTGTGGGTTCGAATCCCGGTTCGCCCCAATTATGTTACTAGGTTTGTCAGCATCATACCCGTGCTCGTGGGTTTCACCGAAGTGGTAAACGTCTGAGACCTGCATCACTTGGGGCTTTCCTCCCACATCAAGCTGACACGCCGTGATATAACTGGAATACTGTTAAAAGCGGCGTTAAACCAACTTACTCACTCTCTGGTCTTCAAGCTTGTCCCCACTTTCCACATGTTTTGTTCTTTCACATCCACGTTTTGCAGTTTGGAATGGTAAATTGATCCCTGAATATTTTCACCTTTGAAATCTTTAATGCTCTAGAGAGGCAGATCTCCCCGTGGTCTTTCGCGGGAAAAGGTGACAATCTTCCCTGACCACCTGTCATTATATTCTCGGGAAAATACATTGCTAAAATGAGTCAATCTGACTTTTTCTCCCTCTTTGAAACGGAAAGGTTTTCGAGCTGTCTTTACTTATTTCACATTCTTCTTCGGCCAATACACACGCAACCATGTTGTCGTTTCTTTGTCTTTGGGTACTTTGGATGAAGGCAATTCTGTGGTAGGTTTCATAACTATCAGCATATGTAGGTTGTTGTTTCACATACGAATAAGTCTGTTTATAGGTGAAATATCGACTTCTCGTTTCTGCACTTATGCCTTTGTTTCATTGTTGGTCAGGAGATGCTATATCTGGTCAAAAGAGATTGGGCTATTTGAGCTGACCTCTATCAGGAGGAATTGGGATCATTGCCACGTACTGATATTATAACTTGGCCTGGTTCAATGTTGGCAGAGGCCTTCAATTGTTTCGAATATGTTACACAAAACTGATATTTTCAGAATGGATTTACTCCATTGGACTAACCTTTTTGCATATTTGTTCTTCCACAGGCAATATGAACCCATACATCACGTCTTACCTACGGTACAAGCTTCCAGCCTCTGATACCGACTACTCAGACACAGCATGGGTGAACTCGGCTTCCTTCATTGGCATAGGGCTCCCGATCGTACTGGCGGGCGAGATCTATGACAGATTTGGCCCTCGCAAGACTGTGTCTTTTGGTTGTTTGCTAATGAGGTATACTTAGATTTAGCCGAGTAGCATCTCCTTCCATGAACCTATTCACATTGACAGCTTTAAGTTACACGTGCTTCCATTAATAATTTGATGTCTGTGAGTCCATTACCCATGCCAGGATAAGGGTCTTGGTCTATAGTTTACTGTTAATTGAGGGGCGGCCGGGCAGCCTTTTGGTTAAAGCGTTCGCTCGTCACGCCGAAGACCCGGGTTCGATCCCCGACATGGGTACAATGTGTGAAGCCCATTTCTGGTGTCCCCCGCGATATTGGTGGAATATTGCTAAAAGCGGCGTAAACAGAAACTCACTCACTCGCTACTGTTCACTTTGCGTGCGTCCATGACCCGTCCAAGGATTAAGGCCTTGATCTGTATTCCATTGTGCGCTGTGCGTGCGTCTATTAACCGTGCCAGGATTAAGGCCTTGATCTGTATTCTACTGTGCGCTGTGCGTGCGTCTATAAACCGTGTCAGGATTAAGGCCTTGATCTGTATCCTACTGTACGCTGTGCGTGGGTCCATTACCCTTGCAAGGATTAAGGCCTTGATCTGTATTTATTGTGCGTTGTGCGTGTGTCTATTAACCGTGCCAGGACTAAGGCCTTGATCTGTATTCTTCTGTGTGCGCGTCCATTAACCGTGCAAAAATTAAGGCCTTGATCTGTATTCTACTGTGCGCTGTGCGTGCGTCTATTAGCCTTGCCAGGGTTAAAGCCTTGATCTGTATCCTACTGTTCGCTGTGCGTGGGTCCATTACCCTTGCAAGGATTAAGGCCTTGATCTGTATTCTACTGTGCACTGTGCGTGCGTCTATTAATCGTACCAGGATTAAGGCCTTGATCTGTATTCTACTATGCGCTGTGCGTGCGTCTATTAACCGTGCCAGGATTAAGGCCTTGATCTGTATTCTACTGTGTGCGTGTCCATTACCCGTCCAAGGATTAAGGCCTTGATCTGTTTTCTACTGTGCGCTGTGCGTGCGTCTATTAGCCTTGCCAGGATTAAGGCCTTGATCTGTATCCTACTGTTCGCTGTGCGTGGGTCCATTACCCTTGCAAGGATTAAGGCCTTGATCTGTATTCTACTGTGCACTGTGCGTGCGTCTGTTAACCGTGCCAGGATTAAGGCCTTGATCTGTATTCTACTGTACGCTGTGCGTGCGTCTATTAACCGTGCCAGGACAAAGGCCTTGATCTGTATTCTACTGTGTGCGCATCCATTAACCGTGCCAGGATTACGGCCTTGATCTGTATTCTACTGTGCGCTGTGCGTGCGCCTATTAACCGTGCCAGGACTTAGGCCTTGATCTGTATTCTACTGTGCGTGCGTCTATTAACCGTGCCAGGATAAAGGCCTTGATCTGTATTCTACTGTGCGTTTGGCGTGCGTCTATTAACCGTGCCAGGATAAAGGCCTTGATCTGTATTCTACTGTGCGTGCGTCTATTAACAGTGCAAGGACTAAGGCCTCGATCTGTATTCTACTGTTCGCTGTGCGCGCGTCTATTAACCGTGCCAGGATTAAGGTCTTGATCTTTATTCTACTGTGCGCTGTGCGTGCGTCTATTAACCGTGCCAGGATTAAGGCCTTGATCTGTATTTTACTGAACGCTGGGCGTGCGTCTATTAACCGTGCCAGGATTAAGGCCTTGATCTGTATTCTACTGTACGCTGGGCGTGCGTCTATTAACCGTGCCAGGATTAAGGCCTTGATCTGTATTCTACTGTGCACTGTGCGCGCGTCTATTAACCGTGCCAGGATTAAGGTCTTGATCTGTATTCTACTGTGCGCTGTGCGTGCGTCTATTAGCCTTGCCAGGATTAGGCCTTGATTTGTATTCTACTGTGCGCTGTGCGTGCGTCTATTAACCGTGCCAGGATTAAAGCTTCGATCTGTATTCTACTGTTCGCTGTGCGTGCGTCTATTAACCGTGCCAGGATTAAAGCTTCGATCTGTATTCTACTGTTCGCTGTGCGTGGGTCCATTACCCTTTCAAGGACTAAGGCCTTGATCTGTATTCTACTGTGCGCTGTGCGTGCGTCTATTAACCGTGCCAGGATTTAAGCTTCGATCTGTATTCTACTGTTCGCTGTGCGCGCGTCTATGAACCGTGCCAGGATTAAGGCCTCGATCTGTATTCTACTGTTCGCTGTGCGTGGGTCCATTACCCTTGCAAGGACTAAGGCCTTGATCTGTATTCTACTGTGCGCTCTGCGTGCGTCTATTAACCGTGCCAGGATTAAAGCTTCGATCTGTATTCTACTGTTCGCTGTGCGTGCGTCTATTAACCGTGCCAGGATTAAAGCTTTGATCTGTATTCTACTGTTCGCTGTGCGTGGGTCCATTACCCTTGCAAGGACTAAGGCCTTGATCTGTATTCTACTGTGCGCTGTGCGTGCGTCTATTAACCGTGCCAGGATTTAAGCTTCGATCTGTATTCTACTGTTCGCTGTGCGTGCGTCTATGAACCGTGCCAGGATTAAGGCCTCGATCTGTATTCTACTGTGCGCTGTGCGTGGATCCATTACTCTTGCCAAGATTAAGGCCTTGGTCTGTATTCTACTGTACGCTGTGAGTGCGTCTATTAACCGTGCCAGGATTAAGGCCTTGATCTGTATTCTACTGTGCACTGTGCGCGCGTCTATGAACCGTGCCAGGATTAAGGCCTCGATCTGTATTCTACTGTTCGCTGTGCGTGGGTCCATTACCCTTGCAAGGACTAAGGCCTTGATCTGTATTCTACTGTGCGCTCTGCGTGCGTCTATTAACCGTGCCAGGATTAAAGCTTCGATCTGTATTCTACTGTTCGCTGTGCGTGCGTCTATGAACCGTGCCAGGATTAAGGCCTCGATCTGTATTCTACTGTGCGCTGTGCGTGGATCCATTACTCTTGCCAAGATTAAGGCCTTGGTCTGTATTCTACTGTACGCTGTGAGTGCGTCTATTAACCGTGCCAGGATTAAGGCCTTGATCTGTATTCTACTGTGCACTGTGCGCGCGTCTATTAACCGTGCCAGGATTAAGGCCTTGATCTGTATTCTACTGTACGCTGTGCGTGCGTCTATTAACCGTGCCAGGATTAAGGCCTTGATCTGTATTCTACTGTGCGTTTGGCGTGCGTCTATTAACCGTGCCAGGATAAAGGCCTTGATCTGTATTCTACTGTGCGTGCGTCTATTAACAGTGCCAGGACTAAGGCCTCGATCTGTATTCTACTGTTCGCTGTGCGCGCGTCTATTAACCGTGCCAGGATTAAGGTCTTGATCTTTATTCTACTGTGCGCTGTGCGTGTGTCTATTAACCGTGCCAGGATTAAGGCCTTGATCTGTATTCTACTATGCGCTGTGCGTGCGTCTATTAACCGTGCCAGGATTAAGGCCTTGATCTGTATTCTACTGTGTGCGTGTCCATTACCCGTCCAAGGATTAAGGCCTTGATCTGTTTTCTACTGTGCGCTGTGCGTGCGTCTATTAGCCTTGCCAGGATTAAGGCCTTGATCTGTATCCTACTGTTCGCTGTGCGTGGGTCCATTACCCTTGCAAGGATTAAGGCCTTGATCTGTATTCTACTGTGCACTGTGCGTGCGTCTGTTAACCGTGCCAGGATTAAGGCCTTGATCTGTATTCTACTGTACGCTGTGCGTGCGTCTATTAACCGTGCCAGGACAAAGGCCTTGATCTGTATTCTACTGTGTGCGTGTCCATTAACCGTGCCAGGATTAAGGCCTTGATCTGTATTCTACTGTGCGCTGTGCGTGCGCCTATTAACCGTGCCAGGACTAAGGCCTTGATCTGTATTCTACTGTGCATGCGTCTATTAACCGTGCCAGGATTAAGGCCTTGATCTGTATTCTACTGTGCGTTTGGCGTGCGTCTATTAACCGTGCCAGGATTAAGGCCTTGATCTGTATTCTACTGTATGCTGGGCGCGCGTCTATTAACCGTGCCAGGATTAAGGCCTTGATCTGTATTCTACTGTGCGCTGTGCGCGCGTCTATTAACCGTGCCAGGATTTAAGCTTCGATCTGTATTCTACTGTTCGCTGTGCGCGCGTCTATGAACCGTGCCAGGATTAAGGCCTTGATCTGTATTCTACTGTTCGCTGTGCGTGGGTCCATTACCCTTGCAAGGACTAAGGCCTTGATCTGTATTCTACTGTGCGCTCTGCGTGCGTCTATTAACCGTGCCAGGATTAAAGCTTCGATCTGTATTCTACTGTTCGCTGTGCGTGCGTCTATGAACCGTGCCAGGATTAAGGCCTCGATCTGTATTCTACTGTGCGCTGTGCGTGGATCCATTACTCTTGCCAAGATTAAGGCCTTGGTCTGTATTCTACTGTACGCTGTGAGTGCGTCTATTAACCGTGCCAGGATTAAGGCCTTGATCTGTATTCTACTGTGCACTGTGCGCGCGTCTATTAACCGTGCCAGGATTAAGGCCTTGATCTGTATTCTACTGTACGCTGTGCGTGCGTCTATTAACCGTGCCAGGATTAAGGCCTTGATCTGTATTCTACTGTGCGTTTGGCGTGCGTCTATTAACCGTGCCAGGATAAAGGCCTTGATCTGTATTCTACTGTGCGTGCGTCTATTAACAGTGCCAGGACTAAGGCCTCGATCTGTATTCTACTGTTCGCTGTGCGCGCGTCTATTAACCGTGCCAGGATTAAGGTCTTGATCTTTATTCTACTGTGCGCTGTGCGTGTGTCTATTAACCATGCCAGGATTAAGGCCTTGATCTGTATTCTACTGTACGCTGGGCGCGCGTCTATTAACCGTGCCAGGATTAAGGCCTTGATCTGTATTCTACTATGCGCTGTGCGTGCGTCTATTAACCGTGCCAGGATTAAGGCCTTGATCTGTATTCTACTGTGTGCGTGTCCATTACCCGTCCAAGGATTAAGGCCTTGATCTGTTTTCTACTGTGCGCTGTGCGTGCGTCTATTAGCCTTGCCATGATTAAGGCCTTGATCTGTATCTTACTGTTCGCTGTGCGTGGGTC